TTTGTTATTATTATTATTGTTTATTTAGATCTAAACTTAAGGAATTGAATACAATTTAAACAGTCACTTTCATTTCCATAGAATCCATAATACAAATTATGTATCTTAGGAGCCTCCAACTTATATGTCAACAATGGTGGTGCTTAGAAAAAGAGGAAGCCAGCAACGGCTGCCGCACCAACGACACCAGAGGCCTTGAGAGCAGCAGCGCCATTCTTGCCTGGGGCTGGGGCTGGGGTGTCAGCGGCGGGAAGCTCATTGGGGGAAGCAGCAGGTCCGGGGGAAGGCACATCGACATCAATGCCAGGGGCAGGTGGGGATGAAACATCAGGGGAATTAGCCTCGGGAGCAGAGCTCTTGGGAGCCGCAGCAGGGGGAGTTGAGCTTGGACTGGAGGCGGGGCTCTTGGGGCTTGGACCCTTAGCGGTCGTCGAAGGAGTAGGAGCGGAGGAATGCTTAGGGGTGGCGGCAGGGGATGCAGAGGGAGATGACTTTGGAGATTCTTTGGGAGTAGCGGCGGAGGAAGAAGGCTTAGGGGTGGCGGCAGGGGAAGCAGAAGGAGATGACTTCGGAGATGATTTGGGAGTGGCTGCACCAGGGGAGGTAGATGAGGCGGGTGAAGGCGCAGTGGCTGCGGAAACAGCCCCGGCAACCGCCAAGAAAACGAGAGCAAGTACAACTATCTGGCGTGTCATTCTGCTTCTTTTCTTTTTTTCTTTTTTTTAGGAGATTCAAAGGTTAATTAATCTCTGGTTTCCTCGGGAAGATTCAGAAGAAAATGCAGTGTGATTCTCTAATAAAATGTATAGAGAACACTGCAAATGCTTGAGAATGAGGTGAAAAAGGAGAAAAGAGGAAGGTATTTAAAAGGCGGAGGATGGAGAAGTAGCTAGCTAGCCTCGCCGTCCAATGTTGGGTTGTCCTATTCTTTAGCTCTGTTTGTTCGGTCGGAATTAGATGAAGTCCGGTGATTGAATGGTCAACGGAAAGTTGCTTTATTTAAGAGATGTTATTTATAGAAATTTTGTGAAATAGGAAAATGAGAACAACTTTCTGGTTTGAAGGTATTAGAAAAGGAAACAAGATCATCACCAATCACGTAGCACCGTTAGTTTTGATTAATTTCCTTTTTGTAATTAGCCGTTAGCCTTGTTCAATTTTCTTTTCTTTTCTAGTTTTCCGTTGCTTAAACTTGGATCATTTCTTGGCCTTTACCATATTTGGTCACATTTAACTGTTTGATATTATAGAAATTTGAGTTTTTCAAAACTTTTGAAGTTAACTTTAAATAAAAAATTTTAAATTAATAAGTATCAATTCAGGCAAACTCTTATTGATATCGCAGTGACTTTGTAATATATATATATATATATTGTAGAGTTTCTTTATTAATTCTATGGAAGATATGACATATTTTCTAATATTATTGCATGTTTTCTCATAAGGATTGGGTACTGCTTTTAGAGTTGCAAATGATAAGAGTTCAACAATTATATGTATGTTTTTGTGAGAAATTATCTCACCCTCTCTAAAGGCAAATTGAACAAGATGGTTCATTTTTGTTGGTTTTATAAGGGGCATAGTTTTAGTTATTAGTTAGTATTCAATATTTTCAAAAGATATTTTAAATAGTTAAGAACTTGATATTTTAAGTTAAAAATATCATATTTAAACCTTAAAACAGTAGGGTAGAGAGTGATTAAAAAAAAATAATTATCTTTTTTTTTTGTATAGGCTAAATGTTAAAAAAAAAAAAAACCTACTATACAATAGAAAAAATTATGGTACGTTTTGAATTGTTGTAAAGTATTCTGGTTGTAGCTGTGGTTATGCTTAGCTTTGATTGTATTATACTGTAACTGTGGTTGAAAGTTATTTTAGTATTTGGTTATTTTTTTTTAAAAAAATATTATAGATGAAATATGATAGATTTTATTAATTATTAA